AGGGGAAATTGAACACAGTAGCTAAACCGCACAAAGATCCCCAACAGAGAAACAATCGCTTAATTTAAGTCGGTTATTGTTAATGCTGTAGCATGCTGCTTTACATGGAGGGAAGGAAGTCCATTTCAACAAAAATTCCTACAGAGTGTCGTTTCAGATGGTTGAGAGAAACATATTTTGGCCTCTCCCAATGAGAAAGAGTTAAAGAAAATTATCAACTTTTGCTGCATATTGCAGTCATATTAATAAAAAAACTGTTGCTTCAATTATTTTCTGTACAAGTAGTTAAACCAAATATTAAAAACGAAAGAATTACTATTATCTGTTTTTTACTTCCTTGTACGAAGTAAAAAGGAAGTATTGTAATCGCGAAAAGTTTCAGGCAGCATATTTCAACGAAAATATCCATCTTGACCGCTATCGAATGCAATTTAACGATGTTTTTGAGTGATATCTGTACGTAAGGACAGAATAAAATACTCTTTTCCTTCAAAAAATTATAAAACTGCTTTAAATTTTTTCTAAAAAAGAGTCTTTCTAAAAAAGAATTTCTAAAAAAGAGAATTTTTCGTGGCGTCTGTACGAACGTATGTACGTACGTGCGTACGTACGTATCTCGCATAACTCAAAAACGAGTAGCCTCAGAACGTTAAAATTTTGTATATAGGACTGCTATAACATGTAGATGTGCACCTCGTATTTTGGTTGCAATCGGCCGCTATCGAATGCAACGTATATGAATGCCAAACGTATATAAATATATTTATATATAGTGTCTCACAAAAGTGATGGGACACTTGTGCTTTACAAAAGAAAACTGTAATAAAATAAATTAAAAAACATGTAAAATTTTTTGTGGGTGTGTTTCAAACTTAAATTTAATAACAATTATTACATAACATACATTTTCTCAAAATATTAAAATAATAATTTAATAAAAGTACAATTGTTTAGAACGGAGCAAAAAATGGCTCACATGAGTGATGGGACACAATTAGATACTACTATGTACTACAATAAAAATATATTTTGGGGTTTTTATTTTTACTCAAAAGCAATTAGCAATAATTTATAAAATCGTCTGCAGTCTTTCTCTCCAGTTTGTTTTGGAATTTTTGTGTTTTTTAGCTCTGAGCACCCATGGATGCTAAACGAAAAGAAACTTTGCCTGAAATTCGAAAATTAGTTATTAATTTGCATATTGAACGTGAAAAATCTATTAGAGAAACTGCTGAAACAGTTAACATGAGTCATTCAACAGTTTTCAGTATCATTAAACGATATAAAAAGAATCATATGATTCAGGATAAAAGAAGACCTGGCCGTCCATCAAAGCTATCGAATGGAATAAAGCGAATTATTGTTCAAAATATTAAAAAAAATCCAAGAATGAGTGCTCCTAAAGTTGCTGCTGCTGATTTACAAGCATTATATGGAGTAATTGTTAATCCTGAGACTATTAGAAGAGTAATTCGATCTGCTGGATATCACGGTAGAGCAGCCAAGAAAAAATTCTTCGTAAGTGAAAAGAATAGAAAACTCAGACTGGCTTTCGCAAAATCCAACATAAATAAGAACTCTGATTACTGGAATGATGTTATATTTGCTGATGAGAGTAAATTTAATAAATTTGGTTTTGACGGTAGAATCTTGGTGTAAACCCAGGAAAACCCAGAAAAGAGTTTCGCAAACAGAACTTGGTGCCAACAGTAAAAGATGGTGGTGGAGGAGTTATGGTATGGGAGTGTATGTCGTCTGCTGGAGTTGGTAATCTTTATTGACAGTTTTTATTGACATTTATTTATGATTTAATGATTTATTTGATTTTATTGACAGTCTAATGAATCAGGACAAGTATATTGACGTTTTAAATCAAAATTTTGTATCTTCAGCACGAAAGTTTACCCTTCATAACGATATTAAATTCTACCAGGACAATGACCCCAAGCACACTGCTTTGAACGTTAGACTCTGGCTGCTGTATAACTGTCCTGAAATAATAAAAACACCACCACAATCTCCAGACTTAAATCCCATACAGAATATTTGGCAAGAATTGGAATCAAGAATTCGCAAACACACCATTTCTTCAAAACAACAATTAAAATCATTGCTTCAAGAAGAATGTGCTAAAATCACTCCAGAAATCACAAAAAAAAATTAGTCGAATCCATCCCAAGAAGATTAAATCACGTTTTAAAAGTAAATTAAAAGGAAATCCAACAAATATTAAAACATTTTAAGAAGTAAAAATTTTTGGATAAATATTTGATGGAAAAGTAAGTGTCCCATCACTTATGTGAGCCATTTTTTGCTCCGTTCTAAACAATTGTATTTTTATTAAATTACTATTTTAATATTTTGAGAAAATGTATGTTACGTAATAATTGTTACTAAATTTAAGTATGAGACACACCCACAAAAAATTTTTACATGTTTTTTTTTTTTTTTTTTTTTTTTTTTTTTTTAATTTAGTTTTTACTACAGTTTCCTTTCGTAAAGCACAAGTGTCCCATCACTTTTGTGAGACACTGTATATATCCACTCTATTACCCGGCTCAGTGATCTCAGTTTCTTTACTCTTATATGTTTGTAAATTGTACATTTTTTTCTTTAAAAATGATTGAATTATATTGTTTTTATCTTCCGGTTAAGGATTTTATGCCTTTAGTAAATCTGTGTGCAATATTTTTAGAATTATCAGCAATTTTAAAGTTGTTTAATTGCCGCTAAGACTGTTTTTAATGGCGGCCATTGATGTTTACATTTGAAACAGGAGACTAGTGGATTTGTTGCCAATCTAGAGAAAATTAGCTTCGCAACAACAAAGATAACGCATTCATTTATTATTTCCAATTAAATCATGCTTAATTCTTTCTGGAATTTTTTCGAGGAAATAAGGTTTGAGATTTACTTCGTAATTTTTAGTATAGATATTTTGAGTTTTTATGTATTTTTGAGTTCTCGCGAAGTAAGAACTGAATTAATTAAATGAGAAATACTCAATCGTCTGTGAAAAACTGTTTCATTTTTGTTTAATTTCTTTTGCTTAATTTCTTTTATACATAGTTTTAGCTTTATTATAGTATTTGAATAGAACATGTGGCAACGATTAGATAATTCTTTAAATGATATACATTTTGTGCATTCTGAGTTATAATATGAATGAAATATAATACTGTTAAGTAAACCTAGCGCCAGAGTGTCTCTATGGTAAACAAAGTGAATTTTAAAGAATGCATTTATTCTGTTGTGGTTTATGCGCTGTCGGTGAAGTAGGTTTAATTCAATCTAATAAGTTTTAATAAAATGCAAGAAAAAGTGCGTATAATTTAATATTCCGTACAAGGAAGTCATGTGGTGTACACATCAGATTTTTTCTTTATATTAAATTAAAGCGTAAAGCAATCTATGTAGTTTAAACGGTAAATTATTTTAACATGGATGTAGCATATACACTTATAAAGGAAATATTTCTTAGAATGTGAATGATAATAGTAATACTTTACTTACAAACAAACAACTTTACAAATGCTGCGAGATCGTCTTGTAATATAGTGTGTTCCAATTTTTACATTAAAACTCATGAACCCAGCTGTTTATGTAATATAAGCACCTGAGATTGCTTCTGATATTAATAGCATCTTTAGACGAATTTCTAATTTTGTTATTCCATCAACAGGAAGATGTATTACAGAATGCTGAGTGGAAATGTTTTGTGAACTTCCACTGAAAATATTATTTATTATTGAAAATATTATTCTTTTATTATTTTCCACTGAAAATATTATATTAAAAATTTCCTACAAAGTTAACATGTACAACATATGCGTTTTGACATTTAAAAAAATAAATCTTTAATAAAAGAAGTAGTAAAAGTATGACTTTTCAGGAATGGTAAATAGTACTCCGTTAAGCAATGAACATTTTAAAAATTTAACAAATTTTAGGTTGAATCTGCAGGAGGCCTTCGAAACATTCCCCACTTTTCCCTAATTTAGCATATTTTTTCCCTCGACGCTCCCATGAACTAACCTTCAATTCAGCGTGTGAGAACATATGTTCATTAAATCCCTGTTATTATTTTGCTGAAAATCCCTTAATTATACATTTCCATACAACTAGGAGAAATTACATAAATGCTCCGTATTTGAATCCTGCTTTTCTCTGAGTATAAGGTTGTAGAGTCATTAGGATTTTTTGAGAGGCAAGAGAGATGAAAAATTAACAATAGCCTTCGCCGGAAATCGAAACACGGACCTCTGGAATACCGGCCCAGCGTGCAGAACCACTAAACTACGAAGGACGCTAGGAAAGTGGGAGAAATACCTTATATACTCCCCTTTTTAAAGGGCGACTAGTGCTTTAGGGGACCTAGTCGCCAAATTCTGAGTGCGGAGAATCATCATCCACAACCCTTTTATTTCGGGCGCCACTTGTAGGGTAATTAGGTTAATTAAAAGCAGAAAAGATGGAAATATGCAACCGCCTTCGCCTTGAATCGAACCACGGACCTCTGGAATACTGGCCCAGGCGTGCTACCGTTACACCATGACGGCACGCTAGGGAAGTGAGAAAAATACCTTATAAGGAAACCTAATTTCTTAAACTAAGTATTTCAAAACATCTTTTTTCCATCATTTGTGTTCATTGGTTATTTTCTGCTACTGTTGTACATTTAGGAAGCAGAAAAACAATTCAATTAAATTTTGGTAAAAACTGAAAGTTTAATTAATATTCATTTCAAAAGATAAACTTTTTATTAATTTTATTTAATGATTCATTAGTTTTTCACTATGAACTTTTGGATATATTTAATGACTTAGTTCTTTAGATTACGATTTTATGTTTAGATTTCTGTATATTATGGAATAAAAATTCTCCGAAGAATTAAATCTGAAAGAGATAATTAATATTTAAGTTTTTCATATTTAACTTTATGTTCACATACTGCCATGTAAAAACTACATTAAGTTATATGAAAGTACCAAGGATTCATAACTTGGTACGTCATTGTTATTTATCTTTGCTTACAATGAGTTCGGATTGAGTTAATTTCATTTAATTTAGAAATTATATTTTAGGTGGCTGAACACTATGAATCTAAACATTTAATGATGAGAAATCTTGTGCGTTATTATGCTGTCATGTGTGAAACCTAATAAAATTTTAAATTCAGGGAAATTTCAAGAGAAAAAAAAAAAAAAAAAAAAAAAAAAAAAAAAACATTGTTAGTGGCTTTCAAAATCAAATAGGGTTAAATATGATTAAATTTAAATAAAACTGTTTTTAACATTATTTATTTGATAATTTTAAAAGGGTTAAAAATAAGTTTTAGTATTTGTAGTAAAATACCTTTTTTCTCCCCCGTATTCGCTGACAATGCAAAAAAAAAATGTATGTGTAAAGTATTTCCTATTATAAGTGCAAGAATGCTTCTTCCGAATATTGAGTATTTCTCCTTAAGAACTTCTACGGTCGTGTTCTGAAAGAAGTCATAATATTCACAACAAAATATTTTTTATTACATTACAACGTCACTGTGCATTGTTGCAGAACACTTCACGCAGAATTGTAACAAGTCAAGACAAGTCACGGAGTTCTTGACACCAAAGGGAGAGAGCGCAGCGTAGAATTTCTAACTGATCGACTAAATGTTATTTCCTCCATTTGAGTTCACAGCCGTTGACATTTTGTCAGAAATACTATCGACATTCCATTATAGGTACTTTGCCAGTTTCTGCGAGAGGGCGCTACGGTCCACTGCAAAGTAAAAGAAAACACATGCAATTGCCATAGAACTGAAAATAAAAATAAATAAAAAAAAATTAAGCCAACAATGTCACGATTTTAGACAATTTGATGACAAGAAAAGTTGAAAGACCAGCAGATGGAGAAAACCTCATGAGACTCCTACAAAATAACGAAAACACATCGCGAAAATATGTGAGAAAAATAAAATGGACATTTTGCTTGAAGTAGTAGATTTTGGGAGCAAAAATGAGGTGGCCATTTGAAGAGCGAAAGAAAAGCAAACTTACATACTTTATAGAATACTATTACAGACTTATATTTCTTATAGCTGTCATATTCTTTATTTCTAGACTTAATGTTGTTTATAACCATGAAACAACAATTTTTAGAAAAGAAGGTTTAAGGCTTACGTTCATTTTCAAGTCCATTTTATGGTGAAATAAAAGTATAAATAGCAAATTACAGTGGAAACCTGAAAATGTAACAGAAATTATATTTGTTAAGGATATCTTTATCTGGTGCTTGGAGCTTTGTGCTATCCTATAAATATGAATAATTCTTCATTAAAGAAAAACATAAAGTATCCAAAGTTAATTTTACTCAGATAAATAAGCGAAACAAAAATTACATAAAAACCGTTATATGGTCGCCAATCAAATGCTTACCTTTTCTTACAAATAAGAATCAGGTTGTTTTGCAAAAACCTCCAAACATTTCAGATTGGGTGTAACTGTTCATGAACAACCTAATACTTTTACTAAAGTATATTAATAAAAGATGGTAGAACATGAACCTATACGTATCCTAGAAGTTTCTTAATTAAAGAAAGAGGAAAACAAGATTATTGCAGTTCAGAAGTCAAACAACAAAAATCAGCGTTATATTTACAAAATTTTCACAGGACTAGTTTCGATGGTTTTACCGAACCACCATCTTCAGCTGCAAAACCGCAAATGCAAAACCGCAAACAACCATTTGCGGTTTTGCAGCTGAAGATGGTGGTTCGGTAAAACCATCGAAACTAGTCCTGTGAAAATTTTGTAAATATAACGCTGATTTTTGTTGTTTGACTTCTGAATTAGTATTTATTCGGCGTGTTATTGTGTCTTAATTATTGCAGTTGTTATGAAAAACATTTGTTTTAATATCTTTTTAAAAAATCAAAATTAATTTTTATCAACAAGGAACCAAAAAATATCTCTGTCAACAAATACCTCTTGAAAGTTGAAATTCAGATTAGGAACAGATACAGAGGAACAAACATTAACAGCATGAAAAACAAAAGAGTAGAAAGAATCAACTTCTTGCTTAGCCAAATTAAAAGTTATTGCATAAGACAAAATTAATATAAAATAATGATATCTGAAATCTTCAGATTATGATTTAACCTTCCCAAGAGTTTAACGTTAAACATGCAAGAATTAAAACTTAAGTGTTAAATAAAAGAATATAAATATGACAGGATTAAAAAGACTGGATCTGAACTTGGTCTACAGATTTAACTTTTATACCAGGATCTATTTAATCGAATCAATTAATATATGTTTACTGGTTTAATAATTATTTCCCAAAAAATTAACGGCATAGCACATAAAATCCAGTGTACAAAATGAGCTATTCAAATGGGAAAATGGCACAAAAAGGTGATATATATGATGTTTTTTTTAATCATGATATGATGTTATTTTGAAACTAGTGCACCCATGTGCTAGAAAAAGATATAACGTCTCAAGACGTAGCTATGCCTTATTTCACAGAATCGCTTGCCAACGAATATTTGAAAAATATTTTTCGCCCAGGTGTTAATATATTCTGTTCTGCCCCTGCTCAAAATGTTCGAACTGAAAGTTATAAATGTCTCGAAAAGGTTTTTATGAAGTGTTATAAAGGAGGCATGTGAGATATATTCTTTACTTGCATAACTGAACCTATCAAGAAAAGGATGGAATTAAGAAGTATCAATCAAAACAGAATGAATAATTATGAAAGTTAACTATTCTTGAAAGGTAGTAGAAAATTTTCCTCAACAACGTTTGCAGAACCATTGACCAGAGTAAGGGTGAAAGCGATTAGTTGGTTATTTATTAACCATGGAGAAGGTAATTAGAGAATATAATTAATAACAACATTTGCATTCATTTAGTTCACGTTAACATTGTTTCACATCATGTTATATACATTTCAATAATTATGAATAGATGAAGTTTACCATTGATAATAAATATATACTAGCACTCTATGAAAAATTAAGATTATCCTCTTCACACACAAAAAAACTATTCTTCACGATAACCGAAGTACATAGAAATGACTTTCTAAGCAAAGCAAACACTTCATCGATTTTAAAACATAATCATTTCGAATATGCAAAACATTTCTTATTGAGTGTTTGTTCTGCTTAAAATACAACTCATGTTTTACGAATATATTTGCTGCTGTATATTGAGTATGTGGAAGAAGCTACATATCTCAATGTATTGGTCCTACACATTTATTTCCGGAGACAGAATTTATCAAAATAATGTCAAGAGTTTTATAAAAATAGTTTCACCATTTTTTGTTTTGTCCTGTTTTGTTTTTGCAGTGGAAGGATCTATAAATAGGGAACTTAACCCTTTTAACGTTACCTGTAGAGAAAACGGTACTCTTTTTTTTTATCAGGACCGGGTTCAGAAATATATGTATAAGTGTACGTGTCTATGCATGTATGTGGGTATATGTGTATACACACAGATATACGTACGTCTGTATATTTATGCATACATTAATGCATACACTACACACGTACTATTTCTGAATCCGGCATCGATAACTGAAAAGTGCCGAGAAAACTTCCAATTATAGGAGTCTATATTTTAAACTATTGAGTACAAATGTCTTTTACCTTCATGTGCAAAACTTTCAGAAAAACCATCATTTGTTTTAGATCATTTTAATATCTTTCATCCATCGACATTTTACATTTTTTTTTGTCCAGATTTGAAAGAGAACTTCAAATTTGCTTTTGTGGGAGATTATAGAGAATGTTTAATGGTGTTATTTTATGTACACATTGCACGAAACAGCACTCGTTATTTTTCAGATTTGAAATGGGTTAATCAAAATATTTATTGATTATATCAATGTCGATATCTCACATAAATATTTGGAAAGTTTAGTATTTAACATCAAGAAAGTTTTACGAAGAAGAATTCGCTGTACAATTTTTGCATAAAAACTTAGATTTTATATTTTACGCAATCCTTTAACTAACAGTTTTAAAACTTTTAATGAACTAATCTTTATTCTGATAAGCATTGCAATTGAAATCTAAATTTACTTATTACACGTTATTAAAAAATGCAAAAACACGATTAGACGAGGGCTCATTCAATTCCTTTTAAATCGTTTTTTTTTTCGTGTAACACTCCATTTATTATTTCCTGCTACTTTATAAATTGCTTATTCAGTTCCAATTAAACACCTTACATTTTTACGTTACATTTCAAGGCGGTTTTTCTTACTAAAAAACACAACACTTGATTTGGATGTCCTTACCATAAAAATTCAGATATTTTTCTTAAACATGCAGATTAATTATAAATAGAATTGAACTTAAATTAACCAGATCTTGAGTTCTTTCTCAATTGTTAACTTAATATTTTTGAATGTTTTTAATCAGTGGAATAGTCTAAACGGTTAATACAATGCAATACATTTTCGGAAGGTGTACTAGATATTAAACTAGATTAATGCATTAGCGATTAATGTTAGTCTAGAATAGTCTACGAGTTTGTAATTAAGTGATCTTCATACTGTGCTGAATAGAACTCGGAGTTCCAATGCTTAGCATCTGAGGGTTCCATAAATGGCAATCAAACTAGAAAAAAATTTTCTATGCCACGTGGATGGCAAAGCTAAATGTTTAAAATAATTATTTTAATAATGATTATAGTATTTCTGTTGAAATTGTTATTTAATATATTGAGTGGCTTTCCGAACAGTGTCTGTTTTGCTAAAATAGACACGGAGTAAGCAGCTTATGGAACAAAGAACATCAAAGAAGTCAGTCTTGAGTAGGAGTCCACATGTGACGAGGTTACATTTGATTGAAGATTTTAGAATTGTTACAGTCATCTGAAAAAAACAGGTAAGGGATGTCATCCATTTCGTTTGACGACAAGTGTTTTACCAACAGGTTTGTAGTAACATGAATTATCACTTTTCATCAGACAAGAAATTATTTCAGTTCAGTTTGTCTGTTAAGTAAGAGAACTATTATGATTGGTTGTTCTTTGAGATATGGAATAGTTTCCTTGGCTAATTTGCTAAACTGTTGGTTCAGCTGTACTAACTAACAAATACCGGGAATTTGTGAATCGCGTGTCTTCTTTCTTTGTTAACATTGTGTTAGGTGGCTGCAGGCCACGAGCCTTTTTGCTTTTGTCTTTTCCTTTGGATTTTTTGAGCTGGTAAATCCAAAAGCCGGCGATAATTCATTTTTTAGGAATCTCGTGGTTTTTGCTATTGCTGGAACTTTTTTAGACCAAAGGGCGTTAGCTCAGAAGGACTATTAATTATCTTTTGGCGTTTTGCGTTGGTTCATTATAAATGTCAATTCACTTTTCAAATTGTTGCGACCAAATATTAGAGCCATGCGTTACATTTATAGAAATTAAATAATGAAGAATCTGCATCAATGTTTGTTTCTCGCATTTTGATGGAACAACGGTACCTAGAGCCAACAAATTTTGAATAATGTAATCTTCCACTGAATATGGGCATCTAGTAGCCCGAATTTGGAATTTGAAATTTGTTTTATTATCGATTTTATATTTTGCAACACTTTAACGAATTTTTGATGAACAAACTCAGCGATTTCAAAGCGAGCAATGGCAATACTGTACGGGAAAAAAACCTTTTTATCTCCAGCACGCGAGATTGTGTGACGGAAATTCTAAAGATATGCTCATGCGATATTGCTGTTGAATTGAATTTTATGATTTAAGTGCAAAGAACATGATATTTAA